AGAGAAAGAAAACAGACATGGTCACATGCGTCTGTTACTCCAGTGCTGGGGGGAAGGGGTCAGACACAGGGGGATCACCAGGACTTGCTGCCTGCCAATCTAGCTTCAGGTTCGGTGAGAGATCCTGTATGGAGGAGGAAAGGCAGAGAGTGGATACAGCAGAACATCTGATGTCCTCTTCTGGCTTCTGCATGCATGTGTGTGCACGTACACACACGCGCGCGTGCACACACACACACACACACACACACATGCATACACCACACACACAAAAAGAAATAATGGAGCTTGCAAGGTGGCTTAGTGAGCAACCTAAGTTTGATCCCTGAGACTCACATCGCAAATAGAGAGGACATGTCTGTGCCCCCCCATTACCTAATTAAATTAATTATAATTAAAAATAAGAAGATAAGGTTGGCATCATGTTCAGACCAAACGGTTGGTGCTAAGAATCCCATTTGGGGAGCTGGAGAGATGGCGCAGTGGTTAAGAGTGCCTTCTTCTCTTGCAGAGGACCCAGGCTGAGTTGCGCAGTCTCGAATCCCACCTAACAGCTATCCCTAACTCGAATCCCACCTAACAGCTATCCCTAACTCGAATCCCACCTAACAGCTATCCCTAACTCTAGTCCCAGGAGATCCAACGCCCTCTTCTGATTTCTGTGAGCACCAGGCATGCACACAGTGCACATGCATACACAGAAAATAAAAATAAGTATTTTTTTTAATCCTACAGTTTTCTGTTGGACCATCCTTGTTCTGACACCTTGTTAATGTATGTACTAACTGTTTCTGTGCCTTCACATATAAAGATCCAAAGAATAGGATCTAATTCACTGTGTTGATGTGAAAAGAGGATCCAGATAAAGAGATTTAACACACTTGGCCTGGGACATAAGTGAATGTTCTGTTGACCTATTGTAACCTGTGCTAGTCAGTTTTGTGTCAATTTGGCACAAGCTAAAGTCATTTGGGAGGAGGGAACCTTAGTTGAGAAAGTGCTCCCACCAGATTTGCCTGTGGGGAATCCTGTGGTGCATTTTCCTGACTAATGGTTGGTGTGGGAGAGCCCAGTTCACTGTTGGTGGTGCCACCCCAGGGCTGGTTGTCCTGGGTGCTATAAGAAAACAGGCTAGCCGGGTGGTGGTGGCACACGCCTTTGATCCCAGCACTCAGGAGGCAGAGGCAGGTGGATCTCTGTGAGTTCAAGGCCAGCCTGGTCTACAGAGTGAGTTCCAGGACTTTCAGGGCTACACATAGTGATCCTGTCTCAAAAAACAATAAACAAAACAAAAAAAGAGGGGAAAAAACAAGACAGGCTGAGCAAGTTATGAGGAGCAAGCCAGTAAGTACCCCTCTTCCATGGTGTCTGTTTCAGTTCCTGCCTTCAGGTTCCTGTCTTGAGTTCCTGCCCTGACTTTCCCTTCATGGTGGACTGTAAGCTGTAAGATAAAATGAAACTTTTCCTCCCCGAGTTGCTTTTGGTCATGGTGTCTTATCACAGCAATAGAACCCCTGGACAGTATCCATTGTCCAGATGTGGAAAATAAGACACACAAAGGCTCAGCAAATCAGCACTGATGGCTGAAGGAAGCAGAACCCACACCAAAGTGTTCAGACACTCACCACTGGAGTGCCAGCATCTGGCCTGTCCATCAGTGCATTTCCATCTTCTCAAACACTGTCTCATCCATAGTAAATGCTTAATAAATACTTGCAATGAGGACTGGGTATGTAGCCCCAAACGATAGCATGCTTGCCCGATATGCACAAGGCCAGAGGTTCTACCCCAGCACAGCATAAACTGGGTATTGTGGTGTACGCACGCCTGTATTCCTCGCACCAGGAAAGAGAGAGGCAGGAAATTCAGAAGTTCAAAGTTGTCCTTGGTTACATAGCAAGGTAGAGATTG